GCATTGCAGAAATCTTATAATAATATTTTATATTATAATTATATCTTAAAATTTTAAAGCATTTTATTTTCTCAGTAAATATAGGTATCATTTCAAATAAATATGAATTCTCATTTTGCCAAAATATATCATATTGCAGAAATCTTATTACTAATTTTAACAATATCTCCATCACTTCTCTTCCATATACATTCACATTTTTTTCTAGTTATCATTTCAAATAAAATAAATTTCCATTCAATACATGTGCATTGCCCGAATTCCTTATTATTAAAATCTGCAATCGATACACTTCATCGAGAAACACCGATCGATATATAGTCCCTCCGCTCGATCATCGCTTTTCTCACTCTACACATCCATATATTTCTCCCTTGCCTAGAATATGGCAAGTATCCTCCAACTGCCAAACTTCCTGCGACTATAAACTCGATTAAAACCTTCGTAAACCAATCTTCCTATACTCAAACTCCCCTTCTCTATCTCCCTCTCCAATCTGCCCCCAATAAGACCTTCCCGTTCCAGCTGTTAAACCATAAACAGCCAACGGTTCGCTTCCAATCATTCTTTTTGCGAATCCCACAAACAAACCGTTCTCTTCCCCTCCTTCTTCCTAATTGTCTCCTCCTTTTCGAGACATCAGTTTACTGGTGCACGGTAAAACGAAGTAGAAGCAAAGGTATCGTTTCGATCTGTTTCGAAGCGTCGAGGAGTAGAGATATTCGTACGTTCGTTGGATGAAAGAAGGGCCTCGTCAAGCTTCCGTACCTCTTGGAAATATAATAAGGATTTTTTACGTCTAAATGTCTAAACGTTGCCAGTCTTGCTTGAAATTATTTCAGAAATTTTTCCAGTTAACCGATGTTTATTTTTGTATATAATATTAAATTTTAACGATCATACAATCGATCGTACAATGTAGTCGGATTTAATAAACAACAAGCCACTATTAAACTATTATTTGATTGATTTATCACTTGAACTCTTAAACAATAAATTTAACAATATATATACAAATTAAAATCAGATCTTTTCGAAGATGAAAGGTAGTTTTATCAATTAGACGAGAAATTACAATATGATGTCCCGACAAATTCATATTTTTCGAGGGAAAATACGAGAAAAAAAAAGAAAAGCATCATCATATCCCATATTTAAACGAAAGGAAAGGAAACCTGAAATCCACCTATCCATCCTGAATGGACATGGACGAGATGTAGGAAAGGTGTAGAGCAAAGAAGAAAAGAAAAAAGAAGGAAAGGAGGAATATCATTTTTCCAATAAAAACAAAAAAGCATCATCATATCCCATGTTTCGAATCTTTTCGAATCGGGGAGGAAAGAAAAACCCATCCACCTTGGATAGACATGGACGAGGCGTAGAAAAGGCGCAGAGGAAAAAGAAGAAAAGGAAAAGAAAAAGGAAGGGAGGATGGTGATTTTTTGGAAACCGGCCAAAGCCGCGGGACACGAGGTTCGCCGAACGTTAGCCACGAGGCGTGCCGAGCTTGCACGATGGCTGGCGTCCCAACGTCGGTGCCCGACCGAGAGGAGGAGGATCAGTGTGCCGCGTAACGTCGAACGTGCGTGTCGTCGCCGTCTATTCTCCCTCCTTTCGTATCCGCGCTCGCCTCTCCCGCTCCGCGTTCGAGACATGTGACGATTTCCAAAAAGATTTTTGGAAGATGACGGGTGAATCGTTGGCGGCGATCACGTAGCGCGAATCGTGGTTAAAAACGCGAGTTTACCGTGTGCCTCGAATATCGTACGTTCTCTCTTGTGGGGACTCGTGCATCCGACGGATCGAAAGGGATCTCGATCTTTCAAAAGTCTTTCGAAAGATTTGTATTTTTTTTACGAAGAGAGGGGCTTTCGTTTCACTCTTATTCACGGTTGCACTTCTTTCGCCCCGAATTTTTGCCAGGTAGCGATGATGAAGCGAATTTTTAGGATGATTATTTTCTTTTGAATTTATTCGGTTATTATTATTATGAAAGCATGAGCGTATGTTTCGATGAATTCAACAAAGTGGATGACAACAAGTTGGGAAGCTTGATTCTCAGAGATTCTGTCGATCTTTCTGTCGAGGGGAGTAAATTTTTTCGGTGAAAAGTAATGAAATTCTCGGGAAGCGGCTAAATTTTATTAAAATTTCGAGCGTGCGAAACTCGACGACGCGAAATGTAGTTTATTTACACCGCGTGCAACGAGCATCGTGACGATTTGGAAAATGGAATCTCGTGTCACCGTGATAATGATATATATATATATATAGAGGGAGAAAGATTTATTCCTTGATAAATATCGAGAAGCAACGAGACGACTCTTTTCTTCCATCAAAGGAGAAAGATCGATCGAATTTCCGCCACGATAAAACCCCATAAACAGCCTCGTTACACGATCGGTGTGTTTGCAGCAAACAGATCGTAAATTTCTCCGATCAATCGAATTAATAAACTCTCTCGATGGATGGGATACGATTTCGTTTGATCAAACGTTTTTCCCAAATTCAATTACAATCAGTAGCGTGAAATAATTTGAAATAGTTCCACGAAGGAAATGGAAGAATTCTATCTGTGTTGAACGAAATCGATATCGATTCGAACGTTTAAAACAATTTTCCATCGCGAAATTGAAATAGGGAAATGAACGAGAAAAAACGCTTCGTCCAATTTCAATTTCGTAAGGATCACATATACGCGACTCGATTAAATTCCATCAGATTCGATCGACAAACACTTCAAGACAAATACTCTTTTTATTCGTTCGTTATTTTGGAAGAAAAATCAAGCTTTCCCTAATCCTTCGATTTTTAGTAGTAATTAAGGGATAAAGGCTTCGATGCGTGTTCGAAGAGGATTCGATTCGTTCGCGAAATTGATTATCGAAGCTAAAGACGAAAAAGGGTGCACGCACAAAGGTTGATCTCTTCCACTTAACGGTTGCGGTTGAAGCTCGATAAACGTGTCGTTCCCCCCGCCGCGAGTGGAAGGATAGGAGGAAGGAAGGAAAAAGAAAGGAGGAGGAGGAGGAGGATCGATACATAGTTTTCTCTGATAAAGGCTTTTTGTGGAACGTTCGTTGAAAACGTCCACGGATAAGCTATATAACATTGTAATAGCTCGTTTAATGAAAGAACTATAATTTACAATGTGTACACACATCGTTACTCTATTCGTTGAATAATCCGGATCTAATCTTTTCGAAATTCGGTGATTTTTTCTTCTTCTTATTTTCCATTCGATGAGTTTTTCGTGAATCGAATGTAATCGATATTTCGAGATTGGGATCCAGCGTTTGCTTCCAATTTTTTTCTTTTTTATGCATCGAAATTTTTTAACAGGGAGAAAATATTAAAAATCTGTCGCGGCAGATGCGCGTAAAAATGTTTTATACAAGTTTGATATTTTCTCAATATTCGCAATATGCCGCTTCGCTTCGTTTATTTGATCGTAATGCGGAAATAAATGAACGTTGAAAATTTTCATTGTAACGCGTAATATTTTATATTAACGATCGCAAGTGAAAAGTGACTTTTGTCAGGGGTTGAGATTCGCATTGATACGAATTTCTCTTTGAAATATACCTGTTGAGTTTGAATCTCGGTGAAATTTTTTCCCAATTTTTAACCAGAGTGTGCGACAAGACACGCTTAGGGAAATTTTTCTTCGTCGAAATCCACTTTTTCCTAGTTTTTGTTAATGAGAAGCAGGAGAACGAAACCTCCTCGTATAATAATAATAATTCTTGAACAAATTAATTGTCGAAGAGGGAAGAAATTCTTAATGGCAAAGTTTAGAAATTTTCAAGTTTCATAGTTGGAAGGAATAATTATAACGTTATGATCGTTTCGATTCGAAATTCGTGGAAAAATTTACAGAATCGTATTTTCGTAACTTTTTGATTATTGCGTGATAATTGCTCGCGAAAATTTTCGTTGTTCGAAATGATTCGTTATTTCGAAAATTTCGAGATTATCTTTTTATCACGAAGATTGAAAAACGAAATTCACATGTTCTTTTCGACAACGAAACAACTCGATATATAATATTTTAAATCATTTTATTTTCGAAGTTTAAATTATCGTTTCTCGATCAAACGTGTACATATCTTTAAAAAAAATCGCATCGAGAGAGGAAAAACAAATATTTCCGTATCTCGTATTTTTTGCAGAGTTAAAGAAAATGTAAAAAATCTCCTATCTCTTCGACCATTAAATTCCAATTTTCCTCGGAAAAATTAAAAAGAAAAAGAATTTGCAAAAAAAAAAAATTTCTCGGAAGAATATCTCGAGAGAATAAAATAAAGAAAAAAACTTACTTAATCTTCATCGAGATAATAAACAAATTCGAAAAATTATCTTTATCACGATTTACATTTTGAATTGAAAGAAGAAAAGATCGAGATCTCGTTCGAATCTCGCGTACGAAAGCGCCGCCGCGATTCACGATTAACAACCACGGCGGACAACACACCACATGTTGCTTCTTCGCAGAGTTCGAACTTTCGCCGAGTCGAGTCTCAAGCGAGTTCTCCACCAGCCGTTCAACACGTTCTCACGTTCTCGCCGTGTCGAAACTTTTAATCGAGCCCTGCCTGAATCTCGGAGGGGGGGCCAAGAATCGAGGCGGAAACACCCCCCTCCTCCTCCTCCACCTCCACCTCCTCCTCCCCCTATTTTCACTCGTGGAAGAATAATCGAAACTCGTCCTCGAGGAAATCCGTCTCTGCTAATTTCTTTCCTCGACCTCTAATCTCTCGAATCTCGTTTCAAAAGAAGCGAGTGAAGTGAAAAAAAGGGGAACTTTTTGTGCTTCTACTACGAACCGAGTGCTCACCTCGAAAAAACCAAGAAAAAGAAGAAGAAGAGGAACTATGAATTGAAAGTGGATCGATAAAAATATTCCCAAGGCAAGGAGGCGTTCGTTGTGTGTTTTTTTTTTTTTTAAAAAGAACGAGACTATCGTTGCACGGAGGATAAAAGAGAAAGAGAGAAAGGAAGATTTGATCGTTCCATTTGGAAGAAAGGAAGGAAATTTTTCGAGAGGAAATCGTGGAAGGATAGCGAGAATGTCGGATAACTCTCTACGCCGGAAGACGAGGTCCGCCTCGATCTGCGCCCCTGGATTCTCCAGCATGGAGCAAATGTTGGAGGCGATGCCTCCCTCGGGAGCCAGGGAGAGGGACAAGGTGGACAGGGAGAAGGACAGTGGGAGCGGTACGCCGGACGGAAGCACGCCGACCAGGAGGCGCAGGCCGGCGACCAGGTCTCAGAGTGCTCGTGTTTCCGGCGCGAATAAGAGCATCCGTCGTCGTGCTGCCGCTCAAGGTAATCGCACGCTTCTTCTTTCCCTTCCTTTCCTATTCTGAAATGGACGACGAAGGATCTGATATATCCGTGATCTGGAGATTTTATTCGACGGATGCAAAGATTTTTTTTTCGAAAAGATCTCGAAAGGAGACGACGCGTGAAAAATCGGGGAGTAAAGTTTGGGATTAATCCAATATCGATACGGATTCTATATCTAGGCGTTTATTTTTTCGTCACGATAAATTTAAATTGGAATTATTTTAAGAAGAGTGAATTAAGAGGATTATAATAGGATTTAAAATTGGACGAGGATTGTTTGTAAAGTCTTCGATCGATAAATTTGTTTTTTCGAACGTGGAATGTCTATTTAATTCCGTTTAATTCGCTTTCTTCTTGTTTCAAATTCTCCTTTGTTGTTTTTTTTTTTTTTTTTTTCTATATGATTCGAACAAACCGATCGATTTATAATAGTTATTTTACGCGGAAAAACAATTTGAATTAGACAAATATCGAGTGAAAATATACGCATAACTGGCGTGTTCGAGCACGTGTTACATTCCCATTGCTCTGCACTATTTGTAGAGTTGCCAGTTTTAATCCATAAGAATATCAATCCATTCGACTCGATGAGTTCAATTTTTATCGAACTCGTGTGTATAATTTAAATTTTAAAATTCGTTAATTATTTTCATATACACGCATCCTTTGCGACTAATTTTCATCGCGAGGTTTTCGAACGCGTGAAACCAGAATCTTTGGCGTCTCCTCATTGGACGATGTATCAGTTACACGTATCGACGAAAGGGGGCTAACGAGACAGTGACGGTTCGATGCCTTTCGCAACGCCATCCATTTTTAAACGAACTTTTCGAAGGATGAAGTGACGCGACTTCCGCGCCATAGTCCTTTATTCTTTTTCGATTCAACGTCGCAACGAGGAGAAATATCACCGAATACGCGTTGCAAGTTATAATATTTTCGAAGAGGCAACGAGTGATTCGCGTTTAAACGAGTTACGTTCGATCATCGTTGTACGTAGCGGGTACGTGTTTGTGAAAAAGGGATATACGAGTATATTCGAACGCCACGTGTGGAAGAAATTTACATGATAATCGATTTTTTATCGGCCGTGGTGCACGCATTATTATTCCAACGTAAATTTAAGGTAAAATTTCGTGACGAAAAATCTTAAATTCCACGGTTTTCAACGATTTTTTCCAGGATATATATATTTTGGTTATATTTTTAAACAAAATATTCGTCGTTCGATTAAAAAATTTCCTGTATAAGTTAACCTTTTTGCAAAGTGTTCTTTGTGACACAAGATATATTCTACATAAAGGGAAATTATAAATAAAGGAATAAAGAACAATGTATATTATATCTCGTGAAAATCGTATCAGTATAGAGACTGAACACGTGTACATGAATATTATTCATAATTTCATTCAATCGCAACCACGATAAAATCGAACGATAATCTTAAATAATAATTAATTAGTATAACACTGTGCCATGATTTGAATTTTACAAAAATCATGAGATGCAGTTCGAACGAAGGAAAATTTCGACGATCGATAGCGATAATTAAGAATTCTAATTCTATCGGAGATAGACACGGAGACGCTGAAAGCTAATTCTGGCGTGAAGATCGGTGGTACCAGGAACCGGTGTCGGCGTTCGACGCGTTGAATAAGCTTCTTTTAGCCCACGAAACCCATCGCGGCCTCGTATTTTTGTGTTAAATGGGCCGGCCGCTTCCTCTAAGGTGCACTGGCATCGCGGAGGAACCCGTTTCGTCTGTCAGTGACCCACTACCCAAACCGACCAGATGCCAGAATAGAAGCGTGATCTCGACGTCCGCGCAATATGTAACGTCGTCGTTGTCTCTTTACGCTTCGCGGTCCACGATCTCAATGTTTTTTCCATTTCTTGCAGAAATTTTATTAATTTTTCTTACAATTTTCCTTCTTTCTTTCTTTCTCGTCGTCGAATCGAAGATTTTTTTTTTCCTCGCCTGGATATCTCTCCAGTTTTTACAAATGGAGAATGATCGCGCACAACGATAATTTTCACTCTGGAAATTTTTCACAAGAGCGAGTTAAAGTTTCACTTTCAAAGAGAAAGAGAGGAGATCGTAATTCGAAGAAATATAGCTAATCTTTTATTTTCCATTGTTACGAATAACGGGATAAAAAGATTTTTATACTTGAAGTATATGTCTCTATATCTAATTTTTAATTAAATTGATAATGTTTTGTGTTTCCGTTATCTTACATACACGAATATGAATTAAAATTTTATAATTTTCATCGCATTACGAAGCAACGTGAAAATTTTTCGTGTAAAAAAAAAGAAGATCGATAAACACGTTTTTTCACGAATCTTGATGCACGCGAATCTCCATCGTTTCGATTCGATCGGAAAAGAGAAAAAGAGAAAGATGAGACAGAGTAATTTGATTTACGACATTTTCATAAAGTTACGAGTCGATTTCGTATCATTTATACCGAGATAGATTTCGCTCGTGGAGAGATACTTTTCCTTCGAGTATTCTTTAAACGGTTTGAAAAGGCGGTCAGTGGCGGAGGTAAAGAGTGGAAAATTTTCAAAGGATCCACGCTCGAGAAGGTAGTGGAAGGAAGCCATCGCGTGTGAAGCTTCATGTTCATGGTTTGCTCGGGACGAGAAAGGAGAGACAGAGGAGAATATTAGAAATCTATCCTTGAAATCCTTTTTTTAAAATTCCGATTATTTTTAATGAAAGAAGGAAACAAAGATAAAAAATAAAAATTTTCATAAAATCAATTATAGACAATATTCTAATAGTATTAATAATAAAATTACACCGTTGTGCAAATTGCTTAAGATTTTGAGAAAAAAAATTGTACAATTTTAAAGATATATATGTATATAGTTACATTTGTTCGAATTCCAGCTGCGCACCATCATCATCACCATCACGAAGGAACGGTCAAGTCCGCTCACTGCAGCAGCGAGCCCAGGTTGACCGACAATGACATCAGCCCCGGCCTCAGGAGAAGGGGGAGTCGAAGAGGGCAAAGTATGCATCACAGTCATCACAGGAAGAGCAACGCGTTCCTCGACGTCCCCGACACCTCGTCCCAGATACCCTCGAGGGAGGAGGGCGAGGACGAGGACAGTTACAGGCTCAGAAGCTTCAGTCTCACCAGCAAAGGTGAGTTTACTTTAACAGAAGAAGAAAAGAGTAAATCTCTAACAGAACACCTTGCCCCGTCATTCAAATAAATCGTTATTTCTCACACTCGTTCTTCTTCGAATTTTCTCGATTTATACAGTCTCGAATTAATGATTAGCTATTTCGAATCTTGCTCGTTAATCAATTATTATTTCGATAGATGTTGGGTGACGTTTAAGAAAGATCTCAAATTAATCATTATTTATATATATTATATAAATTATATATATATATTAATAATTATTTGGACATTTAACACGTGTTGGACAATTTAAGAAAGGATTAACAAAATCTTCTTCATCTGCTCTCACGATCTGGTCTCAAATATTAATCGTTATTTCCACACGTTTAACAAAGGATTAACAAAATCTCCATCTATTCTCACCATTCTCTCGATCGAGTCAACAATCGATCCGTTATTTCGATTATACGTTGTACAAATTTAACAAAATCATCCCTCGTTCCTTCCACCTCGAATTATTATCGTTATCTTCATAAATCTTCCTTCCTTTTTACCTTCCCTCTCCCTTTTCCAACAACGTCCATCCTCGAACGAAAAATTCATTCCCTCTTCATTCGATCCTCGAGAGCTTTTCTCGATCACGGCCGGATACAATTACACGAAAATCCGAAAATCTGGTGAGGGAATCGGACCGAGCGGGGATTAACGTGTAAACGACTTTCACGCGCGCGTTCGTTGGCTCTGAAAGCTCGCGTGAACAGAGAAAGAGAGAGGGAGGGAGGGAGAGAGAGCGACCGGTTCGAGGAAGTCGTACCCACGTCACAACTATAGATACTCTATTTTCGCTTATCTCGCTTTACCTCTCCCTTCGCTGCCTTCCTCTCGCCTTCCTCTTTCTTTCTCTCGCTTCCACCCGCGAAAACGTGTATTTCTGGCACAGTATTTCTCCTCCTCGAGCGCACGCACGCAGTTTCGAAGCAGAGGCCAGAAGCTCGTTAGAAATCTCTCTCTCTCTCTCTCTCCTTAGGATGATCCCTGGAGTGGAAACAATAAGGAGAAATTGTCGATTGAGGAGGAGGAGGAGGGATCTTCTCTTCTTCTTCTTCTCGAGAAGTGGAGAAATCGATCGAAGACGTATCGTTTTTGGATGGAAGGATTAAGAAATGATTGCGTTTGATTTTTGCGTTTGACTGATGGGAGGAGGATGGTTGGATTATTTTAATTTTTTCCCGTTTATTGATTCAACGCGATTAGAATTCACGTTTGAGAGTGTATTTGTGTAATAAGTTATATTCGTTTCACGTTTTTGTCGACAAGCAGGGATCTCTTTTTCTCGAGAAATTTATCCAAGATGTATCGTTTTCTCGATGGATTAAACGTGAAATGATTTATTCGATTTTTGTGGACGAACAGGAGGATGCTTGGATTATTTTAATCCTTTCGTTTATTAATTTAACACGAATAGAATTAGATTATATCGTCGATTGAGACGAGGAGGAGGGTATCGTTTTCTCTATAAAAATGCGTGTTTGATTTTTGTGGACGAATAGAAGGATGCTTGAAGGATTATTTTAATTTCTTTCGTTTATTATGCCTTTGTTTTTTTTTTTTTTTTTTTGTATAACATTTTGTCAATAAATTCAATCCTCGCAATTTTTCATCTTAATTTTTTTTTATAAAATATTATCTTTTAGCAGGAATATCTCGAGAAAAAGGGCAGTTTTTACACACGCTTATCGGCTAATTAGTCAATAACGGGTTAAATTGTTGTGCATACGCGCGATCAAGCGCGAAAGGGTTAATCGCGTTAATTTCATAGTCAATTGAACTATAATTTAAATCCAGAAGTAATTCGTATTATTTCGCATTTTTGTACCTTGTTAATTCTCTTTCTTTCTTTCTTTCTTTCTTTCTTTTTTTTTTATAATAATAAACGTAGAATATTCCAATTTTATTTCAATCATCGTGGCAGTAGAATGTATCACTCTTTGGTCAGACTTGTTCATTTAATATCGGGCGACTGCCTTATGAAGAATAATTTGAATCGGATGTTATTAAAAGTTAAATTAGAATTAATGCGTTGTTCGAAATTTTTATTTTGATCAGCGAGAAATTCAATTATTTGTTTCTCGATTATTATAACAGAGATTTTAAATTTTTTTAGTAAACCATCCTCGTGAAAAATAAAGATGGATATTCTCTACGTTTATGGTTTTTTCCCGATAAACTTTATCTTTGTTTCCTCGTGGGGAAAAAAAAAAAAGGAACGAAATTTGAATCAAATCTGAAAAAATAAATCCGTTCTACTCTTTTTTTTTCTTTTTCTTTTTTTTTTTTTTCGAATAATAATATTCGATTTCCCGTTGAAAGAACGAAAAGGATGTATAAAGATTAAAAAGGAAAAAAGATTCAAGCTTTTTGAAACGTATACGTGGATTCAAACGAGATAAGGTAACGAACGAAAGGAGGTCAAAAAATGTAAATTAATCTTGGATTAAATTAAAACAATACCTACAACTACCTTCCCATTTATTCATTTGAAAAATCTTTTAATCCGGCAGGATTCGTAATAAATACAATTATATTCTCCAATACCATTCTCAATTTTATTTCATAAAATCCACTCGAAAATTTATTTAAAATTTCTCCTCATAAATTTCACAACGTATTCCTTTCCCTCGATCGTTCTTCCTTCTTCATCTATCTCTCCCCCTCCCCCTTTATTATCTCTTCTTTCGAATCGTTCCGTTTCACCCGTGACGTGGAGAAATTTTCGCCACGCTATCTGTCGAAAATATTTCACCACGCCTCGAGCCATCGAAAGGGATTGGCAATGACGAAAGATCCAACGTTTTTCCAAACCTTCGATATTCATCCCCCGCCATTTTATCCGCTGGCAGAAATCAAACTAACTTGAAAACAATTCGAATATTTCTTGTTTCCTTTCTTCCTCTCTTTCTTCCGATTATTTCTGGCTGTGAATAATCGTTCCAATCGAATTTTATTTCATCATTAAAAATCAATCTCGAAATCGATAAGAAAACGAAGCGTTTCGTTTCGTTCGATCAAATGTTAGTCTCTCGTATCTCATCGAAGTCGAAGGGTGTAGTTGGAAATTTTATTTAGAAAGGGAAAACAAGTTGGTTGGGACAAAAGCGAGAGATATGTGCTTCCTCGAAGCTTCCTCTTATTAATTAAAAAAAAAAAAAAAAATCGAGAACGGAGATATACGTTTCTGGGGGCGATGCTTGTTTGAAATTTTTTCCCCCGTTTCGTGTATATCCGTGTATTTCTCCCTTTTGATAAAAACCCGGCCGTTAAAAGTCAAAAGAAAATAGTTTCTACGCGGAATAAACATTTCCAGTTTCTTCATCCCGTTAAATTTTCGTATTTATCATTTTTTCGTGAAAAAGGTTTGCTAGGGAAATTCTTCTACGTTATGAAAATTGAACGTATATTGTCAACGAAAAAAAATAAAATATTACACTTAATTTAAATTACACTTTTTTATATTTTATAAAAAAGATTACACGGGTATAGAAGAAAGAAATAAAAATCTCTGGAAACTCGTTTTATTATTTCTGGGGGGAGAGAGACAGACACTCCACCCCTTTCGATCATTTAGGAGGGAAGATGAAATGTAAATAATCCGTTCCCTCTCGATGTTTAACGTGGCTCAAGGAAAATTGACTCCACTGTCTTTAATCTAATCTGCGTCTCGATTTCTCTCGTTAAACAATTTCCCGGAGGGAGAGTGAGAGAGAGAGAGAGAGAGAGAGAGACGATCGTTCGAAGAGGACGCATCTGCCTTTGGGGCATGCGCCATTTTAGATTCTCGAGTATCGCCAACAAGTTTATCGAATACACGACCCGCCGTGAAATTAATATATTTCTCGTAGCTGGTAAGACCATCGAGATCTTGCTTCATCTTTCACCTTTGAAGAGACAGGTCGTTGTTATAGAGAGACATTTGGGACGCCAAGTATGAAAGATTGTTAAGATGTAAAGTTTTATTTATTTTTACCTCGAATTCGTGAATCGTTTCGAAATGTAAATTTTCAAGTTTCATTCCTTTTTCTCTCGAGCAAAAGAAGAACAAAAGTTTCTTGGCAAAGGAATTCAATCATTTTACATTTAATAATAAATCAATAATTAGATGGATAAATCGATGAATAAATCTTGAAATAATAACAAAAACTGCTCTTATTGAAGGAACGTAATGAAAATTTGGTTATAGGGACAGCCAAGTATGAAAGATTATTAAGATATAAAGTTTTATTTTTAATTCGTGAATCGTTTCGAAATACAGATTTTCAAGCTTCGTTTCATTCCTTTTTCTCTCGAGTGAATAACAACAAAAGTTTGCAAAGGAATTTAATCATTTTACATTTAATAATAATTGGATGAACAAATCTTGAAATAATAGCAAAAACTGTTCTTATCGAAAGAATAGTAATGAAAATTTGGTGACAAACAACATTCTTAATCCACAAATATGTGAATAATAAAATAAATCCTAATGATCGCGAGACAGAAATATTTAAATATTTAATTTCGATAAAGAAACTTTAATTCCTCTTCGATACATATAGCAATAATATCTTCATCTGGGGTAAATGAGCTCGAACCAGAAGAAATCCAATTCCTCTGATATCGCATAAATTGTCCGGAAATTTTGAAAAAAAAACTTCTTTCTACTTTGATTTATCACAATGATCAAACGAGAGATCAAACGAAATGAAGGGGAAGAATGGATATAAAATAATCGCTGGGTACGAAGATTTTAAAAGATGATTTCTTCCCGAGAAAATATACGAGGCCTCGTTGCCTTCGTCACGAGCCGGATCTAATTTTTCTCAACGGGGAAATCCTATGATCGAATGACGCGAAATTAATTTCTCCCACCTCCACGAGATAATATCACTCGTGTTTAAGAACGAAAAGGTTAATCATACGCGAAAAAGGAACGAATCAATTCATTTCGTATCTTCTTTATTACGATCTTTATATACAATCT